ACCATGAATTATTCTGGGAAACCATGTCATTATTATTACCACACTTATTATACTTACAATGGTAACCTGCCACCACCCAGACTTTTATTAGAATATAACATATCTTAGTGAACTGTTAGGTAGTCTGCTAGCGAGCTTCTAGGCACACGAGTTACAATAGTTATTTTCTGAGAACCAATGGGTAGAAGGAATGAGCGGTGATACTTGTAGATTACTAATTCAATATTTATTAACATAAGGAGTGAACAAGATGTTAATTAAGTACACTCAGACAAGACTGGACCACTTAGGTCTTACTTTACAATTCATAAAATAGATCTTCAATTACCTATTACATCATTAAACAACTGTTGTATTATTTCTTTGACAAATAAGATGGTTATTTTACACGCTCAGATAGGACTGGACCCTAAGTCTTACTTTTACAAGTAGCAAAATATATCTTCAATTCTTGGTAACAACATTAAACAATCATTATATTACTTCATTGTCAATACAGTTGGTTCTATGACACACTTGACAATATCCCAAATTAACTTTGAACATCATGTTTGTTTTGAATGAACAACATGGTACTTTTCCTTCAGTTGATGTACTCAACTCACATAACATATTTACTGGTACCATCAATATTTATGGGTTCACTACTCAACATGGGATAACTATATTTCTGCTACTTATCACCAATCTTATACAACAATAATACTTTGGCCCATATAACTGTATGGAGTGCCCCAGGGTGTCACACTGGTGTCACCACAACAAATGAAGAGCACTGTTAGGGTCGGCGGCAGTCCGAAATACGGCGAAGGAGTTCAGGCCTAGTTCCCAGGGTGCGGTCTCACACAATTTAATAATGCCGAATTAACGACATCTTGCAAGGTAGCCAGCTGGTGTGCAGCTACCGGTCTGCCGGTGACTGTTGGGTATTCAACTAACACACACACTGTGCCTGAGATACTGATGGAGAGCGTGAGAGATGTGATAATAATAACTCGATCACAAACAATCTTTCGTCTAGCAACGACAGACAATATTTACGTTACATTAATTATTTCACTTGGTAAATGACATTTTCACTGTTACAACATGAACACTGATATTCACAAAATTCACTGAGTTAAACTGACTTAATGTGGTGGGCGGAGAATCATACACATACCTGAGATATGATGGAGCAGCGTCAGAGATGTGACGCTACTCCTTGGGCAGGAGTTTATATATGGCTAACTGGCTAATCACGCAATGACATAAATTACATTCAACTCAGTCGCTGTACATTTAACTATGAAAATCAGTGTCATGGGTCAGGTGAATTTCTTACATCTATTGTTACAATCTAATCACGGGTTGAGCTTGCCAGGAAAAGTGAAATGGGCATCAAATACACAGCTGTTAACTTATTCTCACAACATCGGCGTAATGTCAGACAAGGAGCCTCTATGGGTATACGTTGACATCTTGGAGATAATGAGTTTGACATGTTCTTTTCAGGAGATTAATGACTTTTAAAACAAGATAGCTGACAATCATTAAACCACAACATCAAATTCTCTGATATTTGGGCATCAGAAAGATCTAACTTCAGTAGCAATTGGAAACTCAGGCATCCCCCAAGAGCAAGATTCGCACATCGTCATTCTTATTGGCAAACTCAACACTCACTTATTTAACAAGTTTTACTCACAATAAATGCAGTTGAATCTTTTAAAATCACTCACAATGGATCTAAAATGTTTCATTTGTAATCATATACATCCAAGACAATATAGTATCATTGGGTTTTTACTCAATTTAAAATCTATGAAAATGGTATGAGCTTTGAAGAAATAACATAGTCTCGGAGATACATAAAATTGAGAGAAAATGGAGGGCTCAGACGTCCTGAAGCGACGCCTCAAATGAGGGACACAATACAGAAGGCATAGCTACATGTTTTATGGGCTACTGGGCGTAATATGAAGCATCTGATTTTACTTTAACTGACATGTACTACCGTAGTCATTACAAAGCTTTCCCATCTCCAAAGATTCATATTATACGGTATAGCCAATAAAACATTTACAATAATTACATATATTCAAAAGAAAATATACTGAAATCCTTGGTTATTTGTCATCAATACATACAACATCTGTGTCACAGAATTTTGACATACACAAAAATTTGCACATCAAATGGAAAAATAAACAAAATCTAGACATGAGTAATGAAATCATCAAAGTAATAATGTCATGGACACAAAAGAACATAGACGCAAACGTCAATGGTACAGAACATAGTAATAAGAAAAATAAGATTGCCTCAATTACATTTTGGTACATCTAATACACACAGAAAATTTTGGTTGCAGCGGGGTTTCAATTTAGGTAATTGATCAGATATGTATACGAGGACTTTTCTCAAGAAACTTGCAAGAGGGGCGTGGTTATCTATGCTAGGCAAGACCTTAGATCCAGTCAGGCGAGGGTACAGGGAGAGGATGTTTTTGAAGAGTTCAAGTGGTGTAAAATTGATTTAATTCAATTATTGTCGGGTGTATCTACAGATCCCCAAACTGTGGCCCACTAAATCAACGGAACTTAAGAGCCTTAATAGACAACGCGGTGATGCTCAACCCTAGCCACCTCCTTATCATGGGGGACTTTAACTACGGCGACACCGATTGGAGAAACGAGTTCACCCCAAAAGAACTTGAATAACCCTGCTACGCTTTTTGTAGAAACTCTGAGAGATAATTTTCTGTTCCAACATGTTAAAGACTCGACACATTACAGAGGGGAGCAAACGCCCAAGCCACTAGACCTCATCATAACAAACGAAGAGGGTATGGTGGCCAAACTGGAACACCGTGACCCAGTTGGCACCAGTCACCATATAGTGTTGTTATTCAGATTTAACTGTTACCTAGTTCATGGTATAACCAGGCCAAGGTGCAAATATTACAAGGGAAATTACGACGGGATGAGGGAAGAGATGAGGGGTACAAGAACGCAGACACTACGCTGAATATCATAACTAGTAAAGTGACCCATTTGATCGATAAATATATACCAAAGACCAAACCCAGTGCTTCTAGGAATACGAGGGGATCCCTACAAATGAACCATGCGGCGGTCGACAGAGTTAAGAAGAAAACCCAGAAATTCAAGACGTAGGTTGGGTCAAACGATGAGCAAGACAGGAGGATGTATGCAAGAGCCAGAAACCAAGCAAAGGCAGATAGTTTAAGGGCTGAAAAGGAGCTCCAGAGGCTGGTTGCAAGCGAGGTCAAGTCAAACCCAAAGGCGTTTTACCGCTATGCAAAGTCGAAATTAAAAACGCGAGTAGGAGTATCAAACCTGAGGCTTGAAGATGGTAGCTACGCAGATTCTGACCAGGATAAAGCTGAGGCATTGAACAGCTTCTTTTCCTCGGTGTTCACAAGAGAGGATGCGATTAACCTTCCTGCGTTTGAGGACAGACGGTTCGACACAGCACTGACCCACATTGTGTTCACAGAAGAGGGTATAAGAAATAAACTGTCCAGGCTAAAGGTCCATAAGAGTCCCGGCCCTGACATGGTGCATCCTAGAGTGCTAAGATAGTTCTGCTTTGAGCTTGCCGAACCCCTGAAGATCCTGTTCTGTAAATGCCTGGATGAACAAAAAGTCCCCAGTGATTGGAAAATGGCTTATGTGAGTCCTGTCTTCAAGATGGGCGATTTTCACTCCACGAACAACTATAGACCGGTAAGCCTGACCAGCATAGTATGTAAAAACTTGAGAGTATTATCAGAGATGCCGCGATGGAACATCTACTACGAAACAACCTTGAAAAGGATTGCCAACACGGTTTTATGCCGGGGCGCTCCTGCTTAACACAATTGCTCAAGGTATTGGATATTTGGACCCATATTCTGGAATGGGGTGGTAATATCGACGATATATACCGAGATTTTGCCAAGGCTTTCGACAGTGTACCCCAGGAAAGCCTGAAAATCATACTGGAAGGGTACAGAATTCGGGGAAATGTCCTAGCGTCGAGAGAAGACTTTCTACATGACCGCAAGCAGTGTGTGGTGATCATTTGTACCTGTCACAAGTGGAGTACCACAGGGCAGTGTATTGGGCCCGCTGTTGTTTGTTTGTTTCATAAATGACATGCCTGACGTTGTACACTCCTCCATACAAATGTTTGCCGATGACGCCAAGTTATTTCGGGAAATCAAGAACCAAGCGGACTGTGAAGAGCTGCAGAAGGACCTCTGTGGGCTCCAGGAATAGTCGAAGGAATGGCTACAGAGAGTCAATGCCACGAAGTGTAAGAGGATGCACCTGGGGCATACCAACGGTAAGGAGGCGTATCATATGTCCCAACGGGATGAAGAAACTGCACTATTTGAGACTGAATGTGAGAAGGACCTAGGTGTGTCTGTTGACAATGAGTTGAAGTTTTCGGGCCATTGCGAGAAGAAGGTAAATCAGGCAAATAAATTATTGGGTCTTATAAGAAGGTCGTTGAGATATCTAGACGGTCCGTCCCTCGTAACGACCTTCAAGAGTGAAGTGCTTCCCCATCTGGAGTACTGTAACCCCGTCTGGTCCCCGAGATATGCTAGGGACTGTCAGTTGGTTGAAAATGTTCAAAGGAGGGCCACCAGACTGGTGCCTGCACTTCGGCACTTCAGCTACCCTGAGAGATTGGATCGCCTGAACTTGCCTAGCTTATATTACAGACGGGCAAGGGGGGACCTAGATGAGGTGTATAAGCATCTCAGGGGGCACTACTCAGTCGAGTGTCCTTACTTGGAGCTGGCGGACGCTCGCCCCACAAGGGGTCACAGCTCAAGATTGAAGAAGCCGCAAGTCCAGAAAACTGTGAGGGCAAACTTTTTCGGATTGAGGGTTGTGAACTCTTGGAACAACCTACCAGAGACTGTTGTGACGGCACCGAGTGTGAGCTCTTTCAAGACAAGACTTGACCAACACTAAAGCGGGTTCAGGTACATTCAGGAGCCGGTGCATGCCCAGTACTTGTCAACAGTGCGTAACAGAGACTTGACCGATCGCCCAAGCGGTTAACGAGCCGATCAGTGGTGAAGAGGATAAAAGTAAAAAAAAAAGGCCCAGAATGAGGTTTAACAAATAGAGTTTTCAGGTTAGGAGCAGATGCATTGGACCCCATCCAGCCGGTGAGAGGATCGGGCGACTATATTACGAATAGTCCATCTGCGCTCACGCGTCGAGGCCAGTTCTGAGGGGTCAGAGTTAACATGATGTCCAACAGACAATAAGGTTGACGCAACGGTCCTCACGAGATACCAACCCAAACACCTCCCTTCTATTGTTTCGCCATAAAAGCATTTAAACCGCACTAGGTCCATGCAACTACACGCCTAGCCGTTGCCAAAGTCCAGCACATCTACCTCCTATCCAACACACGGCCTACTTAGAATAGGACGTCCAACAGAACCTGAGCACCCATGTAACAGATGGTCCCACTGCAGTACAGTAAGACACATCAACCAACCTCCATGCCCAGACTAAATACTGACCATCCCTTTACAAAAGGTCTCCCACTAGCTAATATTTAGAATGGTAATGCAAAACGGTCAATCCTCCAACTCAACAACTCCGATAAACACACATCACACCACACACTTCCCAACAGCACAACAATAACAAAGAGACTGGACAAGTCTAGGCATACTTAATAAAAAGATCTATTCAAGTCACCGGCTTTCCCGTTCTCCACACCTGAAGTCTAGTAGCCATGACAACCACCAACTTCCTTAGTCTCCCTTTTGTCAGGCTTTGGCCCTGATGGAAAATTTCTAAACCTAACTTTCTCCCCCTGTCTCTGAGCCTTCAGCAGTGCTCGCTTCTGAATACTGGCCTCCATGGCTTTGTGTAAGTTCTCCTCGGAACTCACACAAAGGTTGCAACTTAACATTATTGTCATCATCATGCCTTGATGTTACACAGAACTTCAACACTACTACAACTTCACAAACAAAGAAAGATTCAGTTGAAACCCTTCAAGATCATAGGAGGTAAACATTTATACATATAACTGCACAGAATACTTCTTAAATGGATAATCATAAAAATAATTGGTAACACTATAGGAGACTGTCACACAGAAAATTAACTATCTTTAAAGAGAGCAGTATACAGTTTGAGTACTCTAAAGCAGTGATTTAACGTTTGTGAGAGATTTGGAGATTCCAATTCACAGGATATTTTGGATTTGGGTTGAAATGAACAAATGCTTTGGACTATGATTTATTCTTTCATTATTGACAATATTTGTATGCGTCATGGTATATAAGGGATCCTTGGTTGAAAACAGTTTGAGAACCCCTGTTCTAAAGTACTCAGAGTAATGCTCAGGTTATTAATTGTCAAAATAATTGATAATACTTTACAAGTATTCACTGTCTCTGTTAGTGCGCAATTATCTTAGCACTGTATTAACATTTCACAAATTACTCTATGCTTTACTCACACTTGGTGGAGCCTTACATGTATTTTCAACAATCCATTTCAAGAGATTTCATTGTTATAGGCTTCCATCTCACCACGGAGTCTTCAACCCAATCAATACAATTACTGAAAATACACTTGCATTAGTTCTCACATACATATAGCACATTTACTAGCAATGCATAAAAGTCAACACTGTAAAATGCACAATGCAATAAAATTACAAAAATGAAAAATATAACACTAAACTTGTTCTGTATCAATAAATTCAATTGTCACACACTGATGTCAACTGAGAACTAAAACACTTTCTATTAGTTCACAACAATTGAATCAAATAGATGTCACAGTTACAAATAAAATATTAAATTACATAACCTTTGTACATTTATGGTTTTCCAGTGACACTCGGATATGAACCACTGTTCACCACACACTTAACACAGCAGATGTTCACTGCTCACTCATTATCTGTAAATATCAAAGTATTAATTCGAGTGGTCACACAAATTCTATGGTATCAGTGTAGGAAGGCACCCAAAAATATTACACTGATGTTTTAGGTGGTCTAGTACAGACTCATCATAATAATAAATATATTTTAGTAATGATAGACACGTTACTGTGAACTAGCACCTATCCTTGATAAGAGAACAGAGAGACAATTGCCCGAGCCTTTAAGAGTCGTGCTCTCGACAGGCATGACACTCCTAACGTTCTACTTACAGATAACGGAGGTGAATTTAACAACGCGATGTTAACTAAATTATGTGAACTGTATCACATTAATAAATGTAATATCACAGCCCATCATCCTGCAGCCAACGGGACAGCTGAACCGCTTAACAGGAAGATTCTTAATCATCTTTGTACTAGCTTGGATTTTACTAACACGAACCGGGATGAGTGTACGTCTGATGTACAAAGTTCCATTAACAGTTCTTATCATCGGGAGCAAGTGACTTATTAGGCTTTAGTTTGTCTATTTGCTTACTAACATCGTTACTAGTCACTACTATCTCGCTTAATTTCTTTTCTTCACTATCTCTGTATAGAGTCGGTGCCTCGGATATCATGTTTAAATTTTCGGTGGTGAAAACTGTTGGAAAATATTTATTCAGATTATTGCTCATTTCTCCGTCGTTATCAGTTAGCTCGCCGGTATCTGACTGTATTGGTCCAATCTTTTCTCATGTTTTAGTTTGATACATTTGGTAGAACCCCTTGCGGTTTGACTTCACCTCCCCTGCTACCTTCAGTTCATTATTCCTCTGCTTTTCTTATCTCGGTGTTATCCCTACTGGTCAATACCTTATAATAATCTCGGAGGTAAATTTCACCACAGTTTATTCTTCTACCTACAGCCTTCCTTTATCCAATAATGTTCTTTAAATAATTATTTATCCATTTAGGGTCATTGTTGTTTGATCTGAGTTTTCTGTATAGTATGTTCTACCTTTTTGCATTAAGTAACTTATTATTTAAAATTGTTGTGGAACTCATCAACCTCAGATCTCATGATCAGGTCATCCTCAACCGTCAGGTCTCCAGGTAAGGTGGAATTTTCCTTGCGGCTGCCCTGAAATTCTAATTGGAATCTTATTTCTTTGTGATCTCTGTTATCAAGTTCGTTCCCTACCTCGACATTACTAATGAGGTTTTCTCTGTTTGACAGAACTAAATCGAATATATTATTACCCCAGGTGGGTTCAGTTATATGTTGACTTAGGAAACAGTCCTGGATGGTTTCAAGAAAATCCTCTGATTCTGAGTTACCCGTAAGGTCAATCCAATCTATTTGGCTAAAGTTAAAGTCGTTTACTATACAGACTTTGCTATGTATGGAAGCCCTGCGCATTTCATCCCAAATATGTCGTTCGTTAACTCTATCAAGATTAGGAAGTCTTTATATTAAACCTGTGATTAAATTTTCCCTAGGTTCGATTAATTTTATCCAAATTGTTTCTGTATTCCGCTCAGTTTTTATTTCCTTATTTATTTCACACTTCAGATTATCCCTGACATAGAGTGCTACTCCAACTCCTTTCCTAATCTGCCTATCGGTATGGAATAATTTGTAACCTGCAATTTGGTATTCGACAGGTAACTGGTGTGAGTCTAGGTTTATCCACGTTTCAGTGAATGCTATTATATCGATTTTTTCGGAACATACCAACGCCCTGATTTCATCCATTTTGTTTCTCATACTTCTACTGTTTGCGTAGTTAGTCTTGTTCTGAGTCCTCTCTTTGTCGCGTTTAGGTTTTAACACCCTGCCGAATTTGGTTTTGTCATCATTCCTAACACTATTTCCCTGTAACCTTTCACTTTGTTTACCCGCTCCCACTGCAGTCTCCTCCATCCCCGTGCTCATATGTTCCCCTAGCAGTTCAAAAACTTGGACATCTTTTAAACTGACGTCTCGAGAGCCAGCCAGGGTTGCCACACCATCCCTAGACAAATGCACCCCATCCTTAGCATAAAGGCCCCTTCTGCTGTAAAAGTTGTCCCAGTTGTCAATGAATGGGACTGATATCGACTTCCAATATCTGTCAAGATGGCCGTTGACACCAACTGCCCTTGACAACCATTCATTGCCAACTCTCCTTCTAGGTAGGACACCACATATGATAGGGATCCCTCCCTTCGACCTAATACGTTCTATAGCTGTCTTGAACTTATCAAGAAGCCAATATCATTGTCTTCTGCACTAAGGCAGATAAGGGTTTGTTCCCATTACCAGACAAGATATTGTCCATCCTGTAGGGGTATCGAGATATTAATGTTGTCTAGCACTCAGGATGGAAGGAAACTCTAATGTGGTTTTCTTGTATAATATATAAGTTATATGAGAGACAGTCTGGTGCTGGAGATGCCGTCTGGTGAGGAAGCTCAGAGGACAGCTGGTGGGTCGCCATGCTGGCTGGCGGGAGCGAGGGCCGCCAGGCAGGCGAGGAGGAGCGAAGGCTGCCAGGCAGCGGCTGAGGAGGAGGTGTTGCTTGTTCAAGAAGAATGGTCAGAATGAATCTCACTGGAGAGACAGAGCTTATATACCCAGCAGCCGCTATGAGCCATGTTGGGAAAACCCGAGAAGTCGCCGGCCTTTTGGCTCGGTTGCTAGGATACGGCGGGCATTGGAATGCGGATACGCTTGGTTGCTAGGGAAGACGGTAGCAGGTGGTGTGCAGCTACGCAGTTTGTAGGGGAGACGTCCACTACAATACTCCCCCTCCCCTCCAGGCGGTGTAGGAGACTTGTTGTTTGTAGAGTTGATTAGCACATGTGAGGAAGACCTGGCGGTGCATGCCTCATGTGAGACAACGGCGATGTCGTGATGAGCCGATCGCTGAAATACAACTGTCTAGATACACACTATCTGTGGGAGAAGGGAGAAAAAGGGTGTGTGGAGGCGATGAATGTTGTGCTTCCCTCACGACAGGTACAGGGTCGTCAGATGCGCCTGCTGGGGTGTGTGTGGGCCTGGGTCAGGAGCAGGGGCTGTGTCAGCAGAAGCGGATTAGGGCTCGTGACAGCAGCTGGGTCCACGACAGCAGCAGGGTGCAGGACATTAGCAGGGAGTACCTGAGGGAGAAAAGAGGGGGTGTGGAGGCGATGGGTATTGTGTGCTTCCCTCACGGCAGGAACTGCTGGGCCGGGGTCGGCGTCTGAGGCAGGACGGGTGTGCTGGGGTTGTCAGAATGTGGTGCGTGGGGCAGGAAGAGGAGCCGGTGTCTGCTTGAAGACTGGGAGCGTGATCAGTGTCTCCTCCATCCTGTGTGAGTGCTAATCTCCGGGAGTCACCATTGTAGGGGTAACGAGATATTAATGTTGTCTAGCACTCAGGATGGAAGGAAACTCTTATGTGGTTTTCTTGTATAATATATAAGATATATGAAGACAGTCTGGTGCTGGAGATGCTGTGTGGTGGGGAGCTGCTCAGTAGAAGACGTTCGGTGAGTAGCGTGTTGAAGGAGGTAGATGTGCAGGAGCTTCGTTAGAGAAGATGTTGCCTGTTGCTGGCCTCCTGGTTGAATAAATGTTAACAGCTAGGAGCTTGCTGGAGGAGGTGTTGCTTGTTCAGGAAAATGGGCAGAATGAATCTCAAGAGAGAGACAGAGCTTATATACCCAGCAGCCGCTATGAGTCATGTTGGGAAAACCCGAGAAGTCGCCGGCCTTTTGGCTCGGTTGCTAGGATACGGCGGGCATTGGAATGCGGATACGCTTGGTTGCTAGGGAAGACGGTAGCAGGTGGTGTGCAGCTACGCAGTTTGTAGGGGAGACGTCCACTACAATCCTGTCAACTATATCCCCCACCCCTGCTCCTGGCAAACACACCCTCATCCTATTTTTATTTTTACCACAGAAAGCTCTGTCCAGGTACCGTACCTGGGAATCGCTAACGATTAAGGTTTTCGTACCTTCCTTGTCAGCCTTGTCCCTGACTATGCTAACGTCCGATTCGTCTGTCAAAGGACTGAAAGAGTTGGTACACCTAGCTGTTGTTGTCGCTTTCATGGTGTGTTTTTTCACCTCCAGTTTGGTTGTCTTTCCTCACAACCTTCCATTCGCCTGAGTTTTAGTCAGATACGGGCTTTCCTTGTCTCGTATCTTCTTCCTTCATCCTCGCTATATCTTCCTTTAATTTCAAGATTTCTTCCTTGGCCCTCTCTAACTCGGCCCTCAGAAGGGCACAGTCATGTTCACCAGTAGCACTAGCCATTACTGACAATTGATCCCCTGGAGCTAAGCCTGCAGTGACCTTTCCTCTAGTGAGGTCAACGTCAAGAATGAAATACAGTCGTAATAAGGATATAAAAGAACGAAGAGTGAGAATATTGGCCAACACATATACAATTAGTTATGTTATTGTATGTTAATAATACTCTGGATAGAGTTGTTTAAAAGTCACCACCACACGGAAACAAGACCAGTAGAGTAACGTAACGACTTGATTACGTGTCACCCAATATTTATGCCATTCATATTTTGAGAGAGAAAGAGAGAGCAGAACTATTTACTCTTAATTTGTTAAAGTTAATTTTTTAATTTTATCCTCTGATTACTTTTCCTTTTCATTTATCCTCTTCAACAAAATATTGGCTCGCTAGCCGCCCGGGCGATCAGTCACGTCTCTGTTACGCACTGTTGACAAGTACTGGGCATGCACCGGCTCCTGAATGTACCTGAACCCGCTCCAGTGTTGGTCAAGTCTTGTCTTGAAAGAGCTCACACTCGGTGCCGTCACAACACTTTCTGGTAGGTTGTTCCAAGAGTTTACAACCCTCATACCGAAAAAGTTTGCCCTCACAGTTATCTGGACTTGCGGCTTCTTCAATCTTGAGCTGTGACCCCTTGTGGGGCGAGCGTCCGCCAGCTCCAAGTAAGGACACTCGACTGAGTAGTGCCCCCTGAGATGCTTATACACCTCAGCTAGGTCACCCCTTGCCCGTCTGTAATATAAGCTAGGCAAGTTCAGGCGATCCAATCTCTCAGGGTAGCTGAGGTGCCGAAGTGCAGGCACCAGTCTGGTGGCCCTCCTTTGAACATTTTCAACCAACTGACAGTCCCTAGCATATCTCAGGGACCAGACAGGGTGACAGTACTCCAGATGGGGAAGCACTTCGCTCTTGAAGATCGTTACAAGGGACGGACCATCTATATATCTAACCGACCTTCTTAAAGGACCTAATAATTTATTTGCCTGGTTTACCTTCTTCTCGCAATGGCCCGAGAACTTCAGCTCATTGTCAAAATACACACCTAGGTCCTTCTCACATTCAGTCTCAAATAGTGCAGTTTCTTCATCCCGTTGGGACATATGATACGCCTCCTTACCGTTGGTACGCCCCAGGTGCATCCTCTTACACTACGTGACATTGAATCTCAGCAGCCATTCCTTCGACCATTCCTGGAGCCCACAGAGGTCCTTCTGCAGCTCTTCACAGTCAACTTGGTTCTTAATTTCCCGAAATAACTTGGCGTCATCGGCAAACATTTGTATGGAAGAGTGTACAACGCGTCAGGCATGTCATTTATGAAACAAACAAACAACAGCGGGCCCAATACGCTACCCTGTAGTACCCCACTTGTGACACGTACGGATGACGATTTTGTGCCATTAATTACCACACACTGCTTGCGGTCATGTAGAAAGACTTCTATCCACGCTAAGACATTCCCCCGAATTCCGTACCCTTCCAGCATGATTTTCAGCCTTTCATGGGGTACACTGTCGAAAGTGTCCAATATCCAATACTCTGAGCAATTGTGTTAAGCAGGAGCGCCCTGGCATAAAACCGTGTTGGCAATGCTTTACAAGGTTGTTTCCCATTAGATGTTCCATTGCGGCATCTCTGATAATACTCTCAAGTACTTTACATATTATGTTGGTAAAGTTAAGGTCAAATAAACACTTTTTTTTTAAACACATTGCTATTCATATATTAAAATCAACCTTATCCACTTTTCCATTGTGGATGTATGTATATATATATATATATATATATATATATATATATATATATATATATATATATATATATATATATATATATATATATATATATATATATATATATATATATATATATATATTTATATTGTGTGTGTCATTAGCCCAATAAAGCGCGCTGACTTCTACATAATATCAAAACCTCACCCGCCAAGATTCGAAACCAAGGCCCACGACTGTGACCGGGGAGCGCTACCTCTAGACCACCAGGATACAAAAGCAGTCCTAGACTCTGTTATATTTCACACAAAGTCAGTTCAACGAGCTTATGGCACCGTGAACCTCTAATGAGGACTACCCGTATATATATGGATCCTTGTGTTTCGAAGCCGGATTTGGTAAAACGTTATTCTGACCACCTACAGTAAGTGATACAGGTAGTCCCCATTAGAGGTTCACGGCGCCATAAGCTCATTGAACTGACTTTGTGTGAAATATAACAGAGTCTAGGACTGCTTTTGTATCCTGGTGGACTAGAGGTAGCGTTCCCCGGTCACAGTCTTGGGCCATGGGTTCGAATCCTGGCGGGGTGAGGAGTTGATTTTATATATATATATATATATATATATATATATATATATATATATATATATATATATATATATATATATATATATATATATATATATATATATATATAAATGGGTACGAACTGTCTCATAAATTGGGTATGAGTTATCTCGTAGCTGGGTAAGAGTCGACATGTTCTGATGGGTACGATTTGCTTGGGTAAGAGTTGTCCAGCACCCAATTTAATGTAGTTCACACAACTCTGTTAGAAAGTCAAAACTATGTTTTTCTAGATTTTTTGTGTGTGTGTGTTTTGATTGGTTCTGGCCATGATTTCCATCAGAAATGGCCTGTTTTTAAGTTATCGTCCCCTTCTACCCCCAACACGATAGGGGATCCAGTTGGGAACCGGGGTCTTGGGTGGGGGAGAGAAGCAAGCGTTTTCCTACAAAAATCATGGCAAAGTGAATACAAAACACACCAAAAAACATATAAACCTAACCTTTTTGGGGATGACCTAACCTACCCTAATCTATCCTAACCTGACCCATGGGAACACATTTATGAAGGGAAGATTAATGGAATTAAATAGAGAAGATCTGGCATGCGTTACCTCCGTGATTATACGTTACCCAAGAAATGTGATAAAATAAAATTACCTTAAAATCAGAAGTCCTTTACGAATATGATAATAGATTTGGGGTAGGAATGTTGTGTGAACTACATACCAATCTTTCAGTGATGCCGAGGTGGAATTCTTCAGGAGATCCAATAGAGCTTTTCATAAATTATTTCACAAAAAATTTCCTCTAAATTCCTGAATGCTGTTTCTACTTACATGGTTGCCTCACTTTTAGATGAAGCATCATCAGTCTGTAGCTCATCACTGGACAACAAAGTCTCTTTTTGTATGCATTTCTTCTACTGATATCTTGTTACTCTGGATCTCTCCATGACTTCCTTCATTCTTGCTGTGTGCGGTGTGTACTTCAACCCCAGCTCCTTATGTAGGCCCCCTTCTGTATAGCCCATATTCCACTCAAGACAGGTCAGTGCTGTTGCAAATTGCAACATTTCTAATCTCCTGTATCTTTCTCTTCCACATCTGTGCCAAACCCAACCAAGGAGAGTCTTACTGCTAGTCAGTGTATTTACTAAGCGACAATGGATTAGAAAATCATCATCGGCGAGCCTCGCATAGATATGAGTTATTTTGTCCTTAATTTCATCAGTAAGGTCAAAGAAGTTAGTGAACATGTTTGCCTCTCTATGTGGTGGTGGGGTCTGATTCCTTGCACGCGCCTTCTGCCAAAAACACAGTGAGTCTGGGCCTTGCGGGCAAAACTGGTGTCGATCAGGTGTGTCATCTACGGCCGTGCAGTGAAGGTACGAGGAAAAAATGGCTCTCTTCATATCTTTTCGTGATTTTCCTAAGTTTAGTCTCACCGACATTTCACAATGGGACTGAATATTCCCAATAACTTCTTTAGTCAGCTCTGGGCATTTCATTTTAATCATTTGATCCCTTACCTTATACAGAGCTGCACCCAGTTCCTTCCTCAAATGACTTATACTCTCCTCTTTGACAACAGCATGTTTAGCACCATACGGGCCCTGTCCATTATTCATTTGCATTATTTTGTCACAAGCGTTAGAGTCTCTTTCTGTGATAAACACAACATACCTAACTTGGTATCTCTCTACAGATCTTGAACACATCCTCTGGACAACTGCTTCTTCCCTACCGTCACTATCACCCTTGTAATTCATATTGCAGTTACGTTCATGACTCCTCTTCCATTCATCATAGCTTCCCTGCACCTTGTCTTCTTTCTTCTCTTTACACTCGTGGCAGTAACTTGACACAAATTCCCAGTCCAACACAATGCCAGTGTAAAGTTCAATAACAACGCCCACGCCATAGTATCTCTCAGGTCCCTGATCAAGCCAAGCACTTTCATAACTCACATCAATGTTTAAAATACCATCAGTATCTGGATGTCGACCTATCTCTCCATATATCATCTGAACAGCACTTCTAGCTTTAAGGAACATAACAACACACTTCTTGAGTAAGGCATTATGAATATACCTTAAATGTCTGAGCCATGACTTGTATGACAGACCACCTATTTTCATACTCTCAGCTGCATCAAAGAATTCTCTATAACTAACGTCACGACTAGCCAATGTTAATACTAAACTTAGATTATTTTCATATATGTCTTCTTCTTTTTCAGTTTTGTTCACATTCATTAATTTGGGTTTTATTTCAAGCACAATCTTGTTACAATCCACACATGTCACTGACACCACGGTATCAACACACACGGGTTTCACTAAAACCTTCACACTACCGTTACAATCATCACATTTGAGCATACCTAATGTACTCTCAAGGACTTCAGCATCCAACAACACGTTTGCTTTACGTGTAATCATTTCTGTACCAGCCTCCTGTACTTCCAGTACAGTTTTCCTCCGGGCAACACCATGTAACTGGTACGCCTCTCTCTCACCAGTTACGTCAGCCTGTTTCTTAATGGCTTCATGTGCAGCTACTTTAGCCTTCCTACGAGCGGTAATACCATCCATGTTGACACGTTCCCAAAGACTTTTCTCTACTGTGAACTTCAGGTGACGGCAATGAAAGTATGAGGGTGATAGAGGTGGTGGGAGGCGTCAGTTGCTGGCTGGAGAACTAGGAATGCGGCTCCCGTGCGCCTCATCATATCATGTAGTCATCGTACTGGACCCAGTGTTGCCAGGTACTTGTGACCAAAAGTCGCGGAAACAGACCTTAAAAGTAGCGGATCTCAATGAAAAGTAGCCCAATATACCTGTATATATATATATATATATATATATATATATATATATATATATATATATATATATATATATATATATATATATATATATATATATATATATATATATATATATATATGTGTGTGTATGTATGTATGTATGTATATTAGGGTGGGCCATATTTTGGGGCAAAAAACAAAATTTGCCATTTTTTTTGTCACAAACCCTGGCAAAAGTTTTCGTTTGGGGTAGAAACATTGCCTGTAAAATATTGTTTAAATATCTTAATAATTAGAGGTTGCTCAAGTCAAATGAAATTTAACAATATTATGCCTATGCTTAATGTTCATAACACATCATTTCCTAGCCCCCAAGCCTGCCCCCCCCCCCCCAAACTTAGTCTAAGTGGGTATTAGCTGCTCAAGGCAGGGGTCGCATGAGGACCAGTCTCACTCTTTGTCGCCCAGTAAGGTCTGCTTGAGGGCATTAGGGAATGATTTCCTGTGGTCAGCAACTGCCTGCAGTAGATACTGCAGTTGCTGTTCGTCCTTGGTGATGCGGCCTGAGAACTCTTGGACTAAGGCTACTCCTCTTTCTACATGATCATTGATCACAGACAAAGCTTGTACACTGGCTTTTGCATTTTGGAAGCCAGGATCATCTTTCCACTGTTCTATTGGGAGGGCCAGGAAATCTGTATTCAAGTTGAGCTTTTTGAAAAATGACTTTGTGTTCTTTGTCGTGAAATCATATAGGTTCTTCACTTGGAGTGTGTCTGGATTGATTGTAACCCGTTTGACATGCTTTTCTTCTCCAATAACGATGTTCATAGCTTCCAACATGCGGTCCTTCACTGCTGGGAGAACATCGTCATCAAAGAAGGCCAATACAACCAACTCTTCTGACAAGTACCAGAGGTGTCTTATCATTTTGTGGAAAGTTGCCTTTGATATGGCATCGCTGATGGTACTGTAGTCTTGTAGAGCTTTAAGCAACATCAGATCTCCTTTTGGTGCCTTTGCAGCAAGTGGAGCAGTTGTCCAAGCCTTCACATATATTCGGGCAAAGAAAATGCACAAATCACTTAGTCCTCTGTTCTCCTTTGGAGTAAGCTTAAACTGAGAACGGAATAACCACACTTTGAAGGAATGAATGGTCCTTGCCATCCATCGTGCTTGGTGCATTGCACCAGGAGCAGAAAATCGTACTCCCCGAGAAGGTGATGTGCCAAGGAAGATGGAGGCCAGCTCTAGCAGCTCTCGATAATCATCTCGAAGCTGTGTCTCCAATAGAGCCTTCTCAATGAAGTTGGTCAGATCGTCCCTAACAGCTCTGACCGATTCTTCTGCCAGGTCGTCGGTGGAGGAGTCTTCAAACTTCTGCTTGTCAATTTGTTCCCATTTGGCTTGGAATCTTCGGAACAGCTGTATGTCAGGAGCAGCTGAGTGCCCCATTACAGCTTCAAAAGCAGCTCCAGCTACAAGTTCAAGTACATGGTGGCGGCAGGCAAAATATAGCAAATCACGACCCAGCAACTGCTCAATTTTGACACACGCACCCTTGTGGTGACCAGTATTTGAGCTTGTTGTATCAAAACACATGCCATGCACGATGTCTGCAATGTGCCATTGCTGCAAAGCCTTCACAACAGCTTTTGCTTGTTCATCACCGGTACCAGAGGGAAGTTTTGGAACAGCAAGAAGTTGGGAGGTGCCATTGCCTGAGACAAGAACTGGGAGTCTGTCAACATGGCCCCCATGCCCCGTCAAATCAGGCATCAATTTACCATCCCAGTGAACAATTAAAACTGACTCTGGTTTGAAGTTTGAAAGGATTTCAGCTGCCCTGCTACTGCGATGATGCTGACGTTTCCTCCTGATGCTTGATCGATTCAGAATCAATTCACTGACATCATGGCCCAGACTCCGAGCAGTTTGGGTGACAATGTGCATGGCCATTCTATCTGAGGACTTGGTCCGATCTAATGCTGCAGAAAGTTCTGGAGTTAGAACTTCTTTTCGCCCACGCTTCTTGACAGTAGGTAGAGTTTGAAGTGCTGATGGGCCAGGAACTGGGTTAGATTCCTCAGAAGAAGACGTACTACTGCTGTCCAAGACAACTTTTTCTATTACTTTTATCCTCTTCGCCACTGATCGGCTTGTTAGCCGCTTGGGCGATCGGTCACGTCTCTGATTACTTTTCCTTTTCATTTATCTTCTTCACCAAAAGATCGGCTCGCTAGCCACCCGGGCGATCGGTCACGTCTCTGTCACGCACTGTTGGCAAATACTGGGCATGCACCGGCTCCTGAATGTACCTGAACCCGCTCCAGTGTTGGTCAAGTCTTGTCTTGAAAGAGCTCACACTCGGTGCCGTCACAACATTCTCTGGTAGATTGTTCCAAGAGTTTACAACCCTCACTCCAAAAAAAGTTTGCCCTCACGGTTTTCTGGACTTGCGGCTTCTTCAATCTTGAGCTGTGACCCCTTGTGGGGCGAGCGTCCGCCAGCTCCAAGTAAGGACACTCAACTGAATAGTGCCCCCTGAGATGCTTATACACCTCAACTAGGTCCCCCCTTGCCCGTCTGTAGTATAAGCTAGGTAAGTTCAGGCGCTCCAATCTCTCAGGGTAGCTGAGGTGCCGAAGTGCAGGCACCACTCTGGTGGCCCTCCTTTGAACATTTTCAACCAACTGACAGTCCCTAGCATATCTCGGAGACCAGATGGGGTGACAGTACTCCAAATGGGGAAGCACTTCACTCTAGAAGATCGTTACGAGGGACGGATCGTCTAGATATCTGAACGACCTTCTTATAAGGCCCAATAATTTATTTGCCTGATTTACCTTCTTCTCACAATGGCCCGAGAACTGGATGGCCTGGCATTTTTTGGCTTCTTCCTCTGCACTGTCTGCAGCCAACTTCCTTTTCATTGCTTTCTTGAGAGTTTTTTTCGTCGTTTCTGTCTTTTCAGGAATACTTTGTCAAGAGATGACATTGCCCCACGACGCCCTTTTTCTCGTTGCGCTATTAAGAAATCCTTATCCTCCTGAACTGTCATCATATTCAACCATTCACATGTGCAATGTCAAAGAGATCTTCAAAAGTATCAGTGAACTCTTTCTGCTTTTGAGCTTCTGTCTTTCTTGAAGAGTTCTTTTTCAAACTACTCCACTTGTCAAACATTTTGTGCACTTGATTCACACAATCTGGTTTGTGGTGTGTGGGAATGTTTGCTTTTGTCCAAAATTGAAGAACTTTGTCTGTGACTTCCCCAGCTGCCACCCTGATGGTTTTTTCTGTATGCGATGCACGCTTAAACAATACTGTAACACTTGCCTGTTTGAAGGTAACTTAGCCCCTGTAATGTCATCACATAATGTCTTTATCAAATACACATTTTCTCGTGTTTTTACTCCTGCATTAGCCATTTTGACCTGAGGAATAAAGAAATTAATTATTAATATAAATTAATAATGAGAATACTCTGCAGAACTGTTTCTAATTTCCCCAATCATCAATCACGACCAGCAAAAACTCACCACAATCGAGCCAAATGCGACGCACTAGTGGTGGGCGTAATCGGCTACAAAGTAATCGACTACATCGATCACTTAATTTTTGACAGCTTTGAGCAACCTCTAAGTATTAATATATTTAAAAATAACTCTACACACAATGTATTTGTCCTAAATGGACACTTTTAGCAGGGTCTGTGGTAAAAAATTCCAAAGTTGAAAAATAAGGACCACCCTATATATATATATATATATATATATATATATATATATATATATATATATATATATATATATATATATATATATATATATATATATATATATATATATATAGAGAGAGAGAGAGAGAGAGAGAGAGAGAGAGAGAGAGAGATATTGTAGGGTTAACGTTATGTTGGATCGCACTAGGATGGAGGTAAGGGAACTCTGCTATGGAGTTTGTCTATATTATATTATATGTACAATGCAGTGCCAGGGAGTTGCTGTTTGGTGAGGAGCGTGTTGAGAGGAGGCTCTTGTTGTAAAAGCGCGCAACCCAAGCTGCCACCCTTTAAGGGCTTGGCACTCTTACAACAACTTATGTTAATACTCTGACCTGGCAGCGTGACGTGAGAGGAAGGCCCATGGGTACATGTAAATATAGTATCGAGTATTAGGGAAAGAACAACGGTGAATACTATAGGTGAATCATAGACCCACATACAAATACACTGTTTATTAAACACAAAAATGGTTACAGGAAAGATGCTGTATGCACACAAAACAGGAACTCCTGGTACCATGCCCTCAGGCTCAATTTACTTGCACCACTACCGGGTGTACCCACACCAAAACACACACAAACTCTCACAGCACCTTAGCACCAATAAGACCAGTGGCACCTGCCAGTACAACACTCAATAGCCCAGGGGCAACACTCCAGCGGCCGCCAAGGGAGTCTCATCACCAAGTGACGCCTTCCAACACTCCGATAATTCCGGTGGACTAACACCACCACACCAACAGCCCTACTGAGCTATGTACTGTACTCATCCACCAATGATGGGGCTGGCAGTGGTTTGTGGGCTGACTGAGTCATCAAAAGCAAGAATTAAATTGATCACAAAAGGTTGAATGGCAATCCCGTCCCAACACGCAGCGCCTTAATACAACACGAGGAGCAGATTTAAAAGTTCCCTTCAGGAATATTAACTAATTCCTTAGTTAACCTCCCTACCACAATTTCAGTATGATTATCAGAGTCTCTGATAAAAGGTTTAAAGGTTCTCGGTAGCAGAAAAAGTTTACAACTACGGTCAACAAACATACGACATCTCGATGACGTCATCAAGGCAGGTGCAAAGTCCTCAGGGGCGCCGGGTGAGGTGTCTGGGTTCCTAGGTCCGGATGCAGGATTCTCATCAGGAGCAGGGTCCACGTCAGGAGCAGTAGGTACTTGAGGATGAAAAGAGGGTACCCAGGAATGTTGTGGGCGAGGTGGTGCTGCAGGCGGCAATGGTGGGCCGACTGGGGAAGGAGGTGCGGGAGGGATGTGTTCAGGGCGGTGGGAAGGCTGGCGTGGGGTAGTAGCCTTGGATGCTGAAACTGCCTGTTATAGTGTTTGCATTGTAAGGGGGGGGGGGGTCCCTTTACTATTTCATATATGTCTTCTGTTATTATTCTTCAATATTTTTATATACTTATATTCTTGCCTATATTTTCTAAGTCACCAATTTGTAAGAGTCCGTTTTCCTCTTTATACTATTTCATATTGTATTTTGTTCTAGTTATATTCTAA